AAAAAAAAAAAAAAAAAAAATATCGGCGATTGTCCGTGAAATCAACTTAAAAAAAAATTAATAAAAATACTGGCTCCCCGGTGGAAGCCAGCAGTCTTTGCTGCCATGGCCCAGTCTCGCAGTCTGCCCAAGTGAGGAAGCTGCTGGCAGGTTGTCAGATGAAGGGCAGCAAACAAGATGGCAGTCAGCCCCTTGTCCCTCCTCCCTCTGCTGGGGCCTCGCTGCCAATCAGTACCAACTCATGGGGCCAGCAGAGCACATCTGGGAAATATCAACAGAATTTGTTCTTTATGCCATGACCAACGTACAAAAATAGTTTAGTCTCACTGCAATTTAAGTAGGTCCCTAGTTATTGTCCCATCACAGGGTCCTAGGAGCAGCCGTGATCTCTCCTAACGCCCCTTACCGTGCCAAGTTTGCAATAAAGCACCCTCGTTCTTGCCCACCACATGTTTGCTGTTATGTATTTTATAATGGAGGCTGCCTTTGCTTCCCCTTGGACATGGTGCTCTGGTTTATCCTGGCCCTTGTTCTGTACTGTTTGACTTGGTGCACCCCAGCCTTATGGGCTATGTGTGGCTCCAACCACCCCTGTACCACGCCCCAAGCCTCACAGATGTACCAGATGTTGTTTGTCAGTTTCCCTTCCCACGCCCCACAGGTGCTCTAGGGCTCATCTTGCAGCCTGCACCCCTGCTGGCGCTCTCTGGCTTGTCTTGCAACTGCCTGCTCTGGGGCTTCTCGCAACTGCCCTCCCTGGGGCTTCTTGCATTAGGGCTCAGGCGGCCTTGGGCTTACCTGGCCCCCTTCCAATCCTCAGCTCTCCTTTTCAGGACTGGGGTAAGTGCACCCCTGAATGTTGTGCCCTCTCTGGCACTGGGGTCTCCATGCTACTGTGGAGCCCCTATGAGGCCTCCTCCAAGCCCTAATAGCCTCACCCGGTCCTCCGGTTTTAACCAGTAAACAAAAACTCTAGCCTCTTGGCTACAACATAAATTCAAACCATCTGGCTATAACACAATTCAAGTCCGTGACAGGTTTTCTCCCTCTCTCACCCATAGCAACTGCTTGTGTTTCCTGGTCTCTTCCTTCTCCTTGCTCCAGGAGAGTTCCCACCCCTATGGCTGCTGGCAGGGAACTTCCTCCCTGGCCTCAGCCTGGATTTATATATAGGTCAGGCCCTGCCCCCTTCCGGTCAGCTGACCAACTGCGGTTGCCCTGGCAACCAGCACCTGTACCTCTTTATAGGAGCAGAGCACTGAGGTGCTCTGCGACAGTTATCAGGAATGCATAATAAAAACACCTGTTGGAAGCCAGCACCAGCTAATAGGCTAGGTCAAGACCAGAATCCTGGGCCCATTAGATGTATCCTTATATTAAATTTTCACTCCCTATCCCCTGAATGAAAGGAGAAGGACTGTTTCAGTTATGTAAGAACTGCCATTTATTGGGTCAGACCATAGGTCTGTCTTGCCCAGTATCCTGTGTCACACAGGGCAGAGAGTAGCTACTGAAAGGCAGAGTGAACTGGGTATGACCAGGGGTTTTTTTTTCCACTGTTCCTCTCTGCCTTGCAGCCTCCAGCATTTAAGATATAAGAAATTCTAATTCAGAGGCTGTCTCCTTAACTCCCAATGCTCAATGAGTACTGATGCACCTTTTATATCCAAGAATTTGCCCAATCCCTTTTTGAATCTGGCTAAACCGTCACCTTCCACAGTTGCTGACAATGGGTTCCACAATTTAATCACATACTGTGTGAAATAGAGTATCCTTTTGTTAGTTTTAAACTTACCACCTACTAGTTTCATGTTTTAACCCCTAGTTCTTATATTATGAGAGAAGGAGTTAATAATAAATCCCTATTTACTTTTCCTTCACCATTTAGTATTTTGTAAACCCTTATGTTCCCCCTCAAGCAGCTCTTTTCTAAACTTAATAGGCCTAGCTTCTTTAGTTTCCCTTCTTAAAGAAGCCCCCCCTCAATACTCATCCTTGTTGCCCTTGTCTGGACCTTCTCTAGTTTTTTATATCCTTTTTCAGGTGTAGGGACCATAACTGGGTACTGTATTCAAGGTGTGGACACACCATGGATTTATTGAGGTGCATAATGATACCTTCACTTTTGTTTCAAATTCCCTTCTTAATAATCCTTAGCATTTCGTATGTCTTTCTGATGGCTGCTCAGTCCTGAGCTGATTGTCCACAGTGACTACCAGTTCTCTTTGTAATGGCTAATGTAGAGACCATCAAAGTGCAAGCAGAGTTCGGGTTATTTTTGCCCAGGTGTGTCAATTTACACTTATCTGCATTGAATTTCACCTGACATTTAGTTGCCCATTTGCTCAGTCATGCCAGATCTTTCTGTAGTTCCTCACAGTCCACCTTTGTCTTTAATGCTTTGAAAAATTTTGTGTCATCTGCAAATTTGGCCACCTTGCTACTCACCCACTGTCCCCGATCACTTATGATTATGTAAAATCCCAGCACAGTTCCCTGGGCAACCCCACTGTAAATAGGTTCAGGGTGACTGCTGTTCACATGAGCACATCCACACAAGCGTGCACATGCCTCTTGCCCCACCTCAAACCCCTTTGAGGCGGGGCAACAGGCAGGTGTGGGAACAAAAAAAAGTTCCCCACGCTGCAAGTTTGCAGTACAGGGAGAAAATTAGACCCCTGGATATACAGGGGTTTAAAAAAAGCGAAGTCCCTGACTGTGCCCTGAGGCAACCAGAGGCTGGGTCCACCATAGAGACATTCTGGCTGCCAGAGCGTCTCTGTGGATGCCCCTTGCCCTGG